ACTCCACGCAGAAAGATTCCGGTGCCCCCACCGGGACGCAAACCGGCAACCTTCTTGCTGCGAGGCAACAGTGCTACCAACTGCACCACCTTGCAGCTCCACTATTTATTATGACTATATTAATATTTTTGTTGTTACTATATTATTGTCATTGTTTCTATATTATGTTGAAGAAACTTCCTCATGTGAAGTTTGCTGTAGTGGGTGTTTATTAGTATTCCAGTATACGGTGGGCTCACCAACACAGAGCATGAGTCTGTGATGGTGAACCAACTCCGAACATCTGCAGAGTCACACATTTACAGAAGTCAATCATGGTGAGTTAACATACAGTTGCTAATCAAATGGTAGGAGGTAAGGGGACAAAGAACAACCGGGGGTGGAATCAGGGGTCTGTGACAGGTGATGGGAAAACACAAGGCAACAGGGTGGAATCGGGGTTCTGTGACCATCAAAAGAAAAGAGAATGACTTTCTTAACCATCATCAAAATGAAAGAAAATTACTTTCTTCATCAATTATTATTCGATGACATTTGACCTAGTGACAAGCTGTGTGACTACTGGAATGGAATGGAAAAAATAAATAATTTAAACATGATTCAGAGGGACTCAGTATATGCCTTACAACTCCGAAAAAAATCTGGGCATAAATGGGTTAAGTTCGGAAATGATATAACGCTGTAGTATCTGTAGAAGGGTATATAGTTATAAGAAATGTTAAAACTATATGATCTTAAGATGTGGCATACTTATAAAGGCCGCCCTTGATTGTGACCAGTTATCTAGTCTACCACAGGTACAGTTACCATGAATGACCACAGTTCAAAATGATCCAGGAGAATAGATGCTGGTTCCATAAGCAAGACATCCATGCTGCATTTATGATTTCTATTCTTCAGATTCTGTCCAGGTGTGATGCTAGTTTATATTTAAAAACTACAGCTAGTTATGGTACAGAAAAATATGTTTTTATTGTCACTTGGCTACTAGTCTGACCCATAGATATATATAATAAAGCCTTTATATATATATATATATGGTCTGACCTACTACGTATATTTCTAGCGGCTTTGTCCTTCCCTTTCTTTGTCCCTTACTGTTTTGTTTGCTGTGGGAAATAACAACAACAACAATCTCCCAGCAGCAACCTAGTACACTGAAACGTTTTGCAGAGGATTTGGATCTTGCTGTAAGAAAATCCTGCTTGCTCTCTCCTCCCCATTTTAAATCAATTTTACCAACAGTGCTCATCTCACTGTATGCAAATGTTCCACTAAAAAAATAATTATTTGACTGAATGAGTGAACACATCCTTATCTTAGCCCTGCCGACAAGGACGGTGACTGGTTTAATGAAACAATAGCAAAGCGACTAGATTAGATTGCACTTTATTTTTCACCACAGATGGGGAAACTCACTCGGTGCAGCAGTCTGGATACAGAGCACAAAAAAAAGTGACAGGAAGAAAAGAGAACACATAAACTATAAATAGGAAGAGCTGAGAACACTAAAGAGAACACTAAAGATCCATATAATGGATACAATGAACTTAAAAAATATAAATAAAATGGAATAAAATATGGTACAATACAACAATTATTGCACATAAGGGAGATAAACTGCACACAGT